GTAATTGGGATAGATTTACGTCACGCAATTGGCAATGTCTTTGGACTCATTGCTGGTACCTGATCTTTTTCATTTATGTCATTGTAAAAAGGCCCTCAAAAAAAATGTCTTTGGAAAAAATGTGGACCTTTTAAAATTTTGGGGGGGTCGTACGACCCTCACGACCCCCCCCTGCATACACCCATGAAGTGGGAGGGTATAAGGGGATGAAGTAGTAGTTTGGCACCCTACAGGCTAGGGCGTTCTCCAAATTATAAATACAGGTCCACTGAAAAAAATTTATTACATAAATCTATGCTGATATACTCCATAACCATATTAAAAGCATATACATTACAAAATATAACTCCTCTGGTGATATATTGCGCATGCGCTAACACACTAACGTAGCCAGGTTGTGTACTAACTGGTAAATGCAGCGGCTACCTTACATGCAAGGTTTTTTCCATTTCTTAAGTGATGTCTACTGATGGAATTTTATCATATAAACCTATGCTAGGATAACTCCTCATTAGTTTAAATGCATAATTTTCCCAAAATGTTGTTTATCTCAGGAGATATTGCGCATGCGTGAGCACCTTTGAAGGCGTGCAGCACGGACTAAAATACACTGCATAAAATAAATTGTTGAGGGAGAGAGAGGTGGGAGACCGAGGAAAGACGGAAGGGAAGATAGTTGAGAAGCCGTAGAAAAAGAAGAATGTTGAGCGAGCGACAAGGGAGACAAGCGGAGGAGGGAAGGGGATGAAATAGTAGTTTGCCAACCTACAGGCTAGGGCGCTCTCCCAATTATAAACACAGGTCCACTGGAAAAAAAATACATAAATCTATGCTGAGATACCTCCTAACCATATTAAATGCATATTCATCACAAAATATAACTCCTCTGGTGATATATTGCGCATGCGCTAACACACTAACCAACCAGATTGTGTACTGACTGCTATATGCAGCGGGTACCCTACATCCACGTTTTTTCCCATTTCTTAAGTAATGTCTACTGATGGAATTTTATCATAGAAATCTATGCTAGGATAACTCCTCTTCAGTTAACGTTTATAATTTTTGCAAAATATTGTTCTTCTCGGGAGATATTGCGCATGCGTGAGCACGGACTAAAATACACTGCATAAAATAAATTGTTGAGGGAGAGAGAGGTGGGAGACTGAGGAAAGACGGAAGGGAAGATAGTTGAGAAGCCGTAGAAAAAGAAGGATGTGTAGCGAGCGACAAGGGAAGCAAGCGGAGGAGGGAAGGGGATGAAATAGTAGTTTGCCAACCTACAGGCTAGGGCGCTCTCCTAATTATAAACACAGGCCCACTAAAAAAAATCTCACATAAATCTATGCTGAAATACCCCCTAACCATATTAAATGCATATTCATCACAAAATATAACTCCACTGGTGATATATTGCGCATGAACTAACACATTCACGTAGCCAGATTGTGCACTGACTGGCATATGCAGCGTATACATTACATGCAAGGGTTTTCCCCATTTCTTAAGTGATGTCTACTGAATGGGATTTTATCATATAAATCTATGCTAGGATAACTCCTCTTCAGTTTAAATGCAGAATCTTTGCAAAATATTGTACTTCTAGGGAGATAATGCGCATGCGCGAGCAGAGTTGAAGACGTTCAGTACGGACCGAAATACACTGCATATAATATATCTTGCTGAGGGACAGAGGACTGGAAGACTGAGGAAAGGCGACAGGAAAGATAAATGAGGGGCGGTAGAAAAAGAAGGATGCGTAGCGAGAGACAATGGAGGCAAGGGGGAGGATGAAAGGGAATGAAATAGTAGTTTGGCACCCTACGGGCTAGGGCGCTCTCCTAATTATAAACACAGGCCCACTAAAAA